ATGATGATAGATGATGATGATGGATGATGATGATGATGGTTGATGATGATGATGATTATGATGATGATCATGGAGGATGATGATGATGATGATGATGGAGGATGATGATGATGAGGATGATGATGATAATAATAATATAAAAAAACCGCTTTCTAGTAACATTTTAATTGAACTTTCAGTTTCCTATTTGACTAAAATATTAATAATATTTAGTTAGATGTTTATCAATTCAATAATAGAACATAGGAAATAATTTTTTACCGAAGACTATTGATGGAGCTCTTAATTGAGATTGGAGGTTAGTTCTTTAAACAACTCCAATCCCGTTGTCCATCTTTATAAATTTCATTAATTATAATATTTCGTGAATAAACTATTCCTCAATTGTATGATATAAAGGTCCATGGATTGACTAGTTATCATAATTAAAGTTGCAATTTCCTCCTTTTATTTTTCAGTTTAATGAATTCCTCAATGGAATCCTTAATTTCTCACATTGCTTTTAAGTTATGTGATTGACCAGGTTTCCAGGTAGCATTGATGGCGTGTACGTTATTATAGTATTATAGTGTTTGATCTAGAGTCACATAAACTGTGTGGTTCCCTCAATATAGGTTTAATTTATATTTATATATGGGTAAAATTGTAAGGTATTAATAAATTATGAATTTGGTCTATTAACCACCAATTAAATTTATTATTAAAATTAGTTCATTAATTATTTAACTATGATTAACTAATAGTTCAAAATCACCATTTAAAATTTACGGGAAGAGTCAAAATAGTTGTAATAGTCTAAATGAACTAAAGGGTTGTCACAATGTCATCACCAAACCAGAAGAAAAATTAGAAGAAAGACCATTTAGATTGTAAGAAAGTTTGAATTTTATGTAATGCTTGACTAATCGTTATTTTTAATATGGGTATTTCCTAGGTTTATGTTCACTTAGAGTGATAACGATGACTTCCTGACTATTGTCAAAAAAGCTTGGGACGATGAACAATCAGGCAATTCTTTGCATGTTCTTCATCAAAAAAATAGAGAAATTCTACAACAATCTTAGCGCTTGGTCTGAAACAACTTTCAAAGATTTCTATGATAAACCTAAAAAAGCATGAAACTCTTATAAGAACTCCAGAAGAAGATATTGTTATTATTAAAATTTTCCTATAAATCATTTGGGGTGCCTCATTTATGTCAGAAAGAAGAAATTTGAATTCTTCATTGGTATGGTTGCTAAAGTCATGAAAACATTAGAGAATGGCATCTCAAATTCCTTAGCTCTGAAGGTAAGATCATTCTTATAAAGCATGTCCTCTAGGCTCTCAATGTTCATACTTTAGCTTCCACTCACCCTCCTAAGAGTTCTATAGATTTGTGAAACTTACATTGCAAAATTCTTTTGGTCTAGAAATGAGAATGGCGGTAAGTATCATTGGGTATCTTGGTACAACCTTTGTTTCCCCAATGAGGAAAGGGGATCTAAATTCAGAAATTTATTAGATACTTGCAAGGTTTTCATTACAAAGCAGTGGTGGAAATTGAGAACTTTTAACTTTATATCAGCTCAGTTTATGAAATCAAAATACTATAATAACGTATACGCCATCAATGCTACCTGGAAACCTGGTCAATCACATAACTTAAAAGCAATGTGAGAAATTAAGGATTCCATTGAGGAATTCATTAAACTGAAAAATAAAAAGAGGACATTGCAACTTTAATTATGATAACTAGTCAATCCATGGACCTTTATATCATACAATTGAGGAATAGTTTATTCACGAAATATTATGATTAATGAAATTTATAAAGATGGACAGCGGGATTGGAGTTGTTTAAAGAACTAACCTCCAATCTCAATTAAGAGCTCCATTAATAGTCTTTATGTCACGACCCAAAGTATAGCCTAGGCATAACATGGTGTATAGGACCCTGAGAGGTCCTACACAAGTCACTTAGCATACATTATACAAAATAATAGAAATAAAGATTTTAAATGAAACAGACTTATATCATAAAAGAGTTTGACAAGGTGGAAGCGTAACATAACTCACAGTAAGTCATCTATTACATCATAAGGAAAATGATTGGAACGTAACCCATACATCAGATACACAACTTGAAAACTAAAATGACATAAAGCTATAAGAGTGTCTCAATCCTCAAGACATAAGGACTCACCAATCCTTGAGCGCCAAAAGATCAACTAGCCACGATCATGAGAGATAAGAGTGCAAGACCCTATATTATGAAACAATATTGGCACGAGAATTCATTAGTACATGGAATGTACTAAGTATGATAGTAATGCATAAGAGCTATGAAATCATGTAAAAAATGAATTTACTTGATATGTAATGACCAAGATAAATCATAGGATAAGAGGTTAGAAAACATAAGTTATAATCATGGTCAATGAAAGGTAAACATACTTAAAACACTAGTGACATACTTTAGAAGTAACCTTAGTTCATTATTGTGGGAAGTTTACCATTAACTGACATAGATCACATGAGCTATAACATTACATCCATTTTATTGCTCCCACACTAAAAAGAGAGAGTCCTAATTGCCAAGGTAAGGACGATGAAATTCTAGATTAGTTGGATTTACTAGCTCATGTCTATCTATGAAAAATTATATGGGGGGACATAGTTTATGGGACATGGATAATCGCCGCTAGTTTAATTAGTGCTAAGTATAAATCCCATGGAATAGTCATTATCATATTAATATTATTATCCATGGAAAAGTAAATTAAGATACTAATCCAAGCTAGAAACATCATAAAGTAGCTCTTTAGACCATGAGTGAGAAAATATTTCACAGTACATAATCCTTTTAGAATATATTTATAAGTCTCATAGTCATTAACTCCATACTAAATTGTCATACTACTAATGGAAATAGTCTTAGAATGTTGATCCACAATCACATATCGCATATCAGGATACCATACTAATCAAACCCACTTTCAGAAAATTGCCCGAAAGCATTGATTGAAAATATAGTGTCCAAGCTTCATAGAATATATAGACACCTTCACATATAAGCTTACTTGATTCATAAACACTGCTTTCATAAAACATGTATAATTTCAATATACGAAAGTTCATAAGTTTAATCATGTGTTCATATGAAAAAGTTGTCATGCTCCGAGACTACACTTAGACGTACCACGAGACCCAAGACCACAAGTGATATCAAGATAAACCTCTTAGCATTAGCTTGACTAAAAACACTAACAAAATATACGAACAAAATCTTAACTGGAGAAACGAGCAACTCAATCCGCAATATAAATAATGTTTTAAAAGTGACAATATGCATAAAACTGAACATCTAAATCTTAACTCTATGCCTAAAAGCCTCTAATACTGGCGAGCTGCTGGGATAAGTCCCCATCTAATTCAAAATATTGAATAAGCAAACTAACTAATGACATGAAGTTGAACTCCAAGTCCTCAAATGAGGAGGACTTACCAAACTAGTTGGATGTGTTATCGACCTATTAGCCACATACTGAAGAGCGCTACAGAATCTACATCATAATACGATGTAGCACAAAGAATTATGTGGTCAGTACTATGGAACATACTGAGTATGTTAGATGTGCATAAATAAAACAAATTATACTAAAAACATGCTCAAAACTGATATCATTCACATATTATAGTAAAGCATACTTGAAGCATGGTTATAACATAAGTCGTATAATGATAGTAAAATATGTGATAGAATGACTCAAGCAATACCATAAGCTTAAAACACATTTAGAATCATGTTAAATAATAAAATCTCTGAAATCTGAAACCAAAGAGTCAATTCACTTAAAACTTGAAACTATTTATGTGGAAGTTTAACCAACATATGCCATGTGAGCTACATGAAATCTAATGTATATGCCCCGTCAAAAGGACCCAATATACCTTGTCAAGGTATAGACCATGACTGTGTCGTGATCATTAAATCTGAGGCCCAAAAAGGGGGACTTATAAACCTTAGGAAGCACGTAGTTCTAGGACTAAGGGTACTCTCACCCTGTTAAACTTGGAACTAAATACTACTCCTACAAACATACCTATAACTTATATAGTATTGAGGCACATATATTTCCAAAATTGATCATAACTAGTAACATATCTGATGTCAAATTTATTCATAAGCATAAGAACATATCTGATGTCATGCAATATAAAATCACAAGTCTTAGAGTTTCGTATAGCCACGATGAAAAATACTCTTCTTTTTTGAAATTCATAACCTAAATAAATAGGCATGTAATTTCATCATATTAGAGGTCACCTTATTTAAACATGCACAATCTCTACCAACAACATGCAATTTCATGAAAGAATAATAGAATTATTTCTTCATGTGTGGTCTTTAAAAAAACACTTTAGATATCAGAAATAGATCATGGATAATGAATGATAAACCATATATTTTTACTTTAAAACTGATTCTATAAATTTTCTCCAATTCGGATTGGAACCCTAATTTAGCAATTCAAAAGAATCACTTCAGAAGGTTGGGGTTTTGGGCACAAGGGTGGAAGGAATCCGTGTTGAATACCCACAAACCTGGTGGATGAAAATTATGGAGAAATCCTTTGGATTTTAGGGTTGAACTTGAAGAAGAGCTCTTTTTGTTCTTGAGATAAAATTGTTGCTTCTTTCTCTTCTTGTGTTTCTTTGTTTGATGATTTTTGGAGAATGAATGTTATAGGTACTTTTTAACTAGTATAATAGGCTTAGACGAAGTAAACGACGTAGTTTAAGTACCAAATGACGTAGTTTAAGTACCTCCGCATAGGGGAAAAGACCAATACGACCCAGACTTAAATTCTATTGAGGGACTTCGCGAACCATTTAAAGCATCATGGCCCGTCTAGTAGGTCGTGATTTTTCCATGCCTCACAGGATTTTTCACTAAAATGAGCATAACATTTTTACTTGGGCTCAAAATTAGGCAAACATGGCGGCATTAGAAAGAAGAATCAAAATTCTATAATTTGATAGGTCATGGACCACCTAATTAATTTTTTTGCTGAAATATATGATTGTTTGAAGTTTACCAAAAATTCCATGTATAATAAGTCTCTTTCACGGATGAACTTATGGTCCATGTGAAGCTTCACGGACCATTTAGACGTATGTGGCCCTTAATGGGAAATACCCTTCAGATTAGGCCACCTGTGATATACCATGGTTTCACGGTATTTTGATACTTTTTCCTTAAGTTTAGTGTGTCCAAAAGCCTTTTTGTACTAATTTTTATGTATGTTTCTCTTTATTTGCAAGAAATCTGTCTAAAAAATGAATGCGGAGGTTTTAGAGAGAGAAATACAGAAAAGTACCACCTACGGAGCTTGTGACGGTCCGTCGTGCCAGTGACGGTCCGTAAGTGGCATCCTAGTGCAGCTGCTGAAGGAAGAAGGGGAAGTCTGACCAAGTGTGGGGTTACGGAGTGTGTGACGGACCATCGTAGCCATGACAGTCTGTCCTGCTGGTTCGCCATGAAGATCAGTGAAGTAGTCCCAGTACCCAATTCCAAGAGTTCAAGTGTTTTGGAACGGAGACCCTCAACGGACCGTTGTGCCTGTGACGATCCGTCATACCTGCCGTCGAGGGTAATAAAGAGAGCAGCAGAAGAATTTGCACAAGTATGGGATGACGGAGTCCATGAGGTCTGTCGTGACCACGACGATCTGTTGCGAGTTCCGTCGATCCAGCCGTGTTTTGACAGATTTCCAGCAAATAGAGTCCTTATTTAATTAGGTTTTTTATTTTTTTATAAATAGTTTGAAAAACCTCGTTTTTGAGGTTAGACCCTTGATTATGTTTTTGACTCTTTGTTAGACTCTTGGTTATTTGAGCTTCTTTTGTGGATTAGACTTGGTGATTATTATTACACTTTTGGAGAATCTTTAGTCTTCAATTAATTGCAGTAATTGATTGTTGGTATTTTTGTCGATTATTCAAGTGAACTTTTGGATTTTATTCTTTCTCATTGAAGTATGTGCATGAATTCTTATATTACATATTTGAATATTGTGATTATGACTATGGGTAACTAGACTCCATAACTAGGGTTGTGGGAACCATAGGCGAATAATGAGGTAAAACCTAACTAAAATAACAATTCTAGAATAGTGTCTTGCATGTATTGATAATTCTTTTGATTAGAAGTCTTTTTAACGGATGGCCAACGTTAGAACTCGCCTTAATGCTACTTGCCGGACCAAGGAGGTAGATAATAGGAAA